CCCCCCCCCCCCCCCATTAATTATCTATTAAATTATGATCACCGAAGCATCGTCGATTGCTTGATTAATCGTCACTCGATGACGCCGCGACACTCGCGTAATTTCGGATTGCAAGTTTCCCTTTTCTCTCGGTACGTTTTTATATTGCTATACGAAGTAATGATGTAAGTCTCTCGTTATTATTGGCACCGTTATCGATCACCCTTCTTCTTTTTCCGCTGGAAAGAGATCAGCCTCTCGTAATGTCGTTTCTTGTGATGCAACTCGACCTAAAGCTACGTTTACTATTAGTAAAATTGGCGATTCGTTGATCCGCGGGAAAACTTTTCGCCGTTTTTAACCGAAATTGTACGCGTGGCGCGTTCCCTCGAGATTAGAAGTTTATATCGAAAAAGTGACGATGTTATGCGGCAACGTTCCGAAAGTTTGCTTTTCGCGATTTTTATCACGCTTTTCTCATTTGGCACGATGTCATGAACGTGAACGATACTTGTGGCAAAATCTTTGATATCGCATATCCGAGATGCGCGTTCATCTTTTTTTTTTCCATTTTGCGTTTAGAGAAGGTGGGAAATGTGGATCAAAAGAACTTCGTGATTACGTTCGTATTATTAAATTAATTCGATTAATAACGACGGGAATTATGTTTACATGCCGGTAAGTAAGGCAGGCATTCCGCGGTTAGTCGTAATTATAATAATGACATTTGCAGGAATAAATTAAAATATACAATGTAACTCTTGAAATATATATTCCCTTTCGAGGCTCGATATTGCACGAATTTAATTCCGTCTCTGGTAAAGTCGGACTCGTAAGCGAAACTTCCGTAGCGATCGATCGTGAATGTATTCGCTGAGAAAAATGTTTCTCGCCTCTTTACATATAATATATACGATAAAATATTTAAACAATGCAAAGTTGAACGAAGAGACAACAACGTACTCTAAATCTTACTTTCCGTTCCATCCGCCGAGAATCTTGAAATCGTCACTGATCCTTTCAATCCCTTCAAAAGAATCGTTAAAGAAACATGACTATATATAGACTATTCTACTTGGTTTATCAAATCGTTGTGATATACTAATAAAAACGCGTGAAAATATTTATTTAATTTTCTTCAAATATTCTTTAGAAGTTATTGATCATATATATTTTGGATTGAAAGGATCAGTTAATAATTCTTCAATAAGACTTATACTGGCGAATGATTATAATAAATCTCTCATACAGCAACGACCAAATCGAGGATGTCTGAAATGACGGAAGATTGCCTTCATACAATCGCGATACTTAGGGTATCGAAAAAGAGGATGGATATAAACAGAGTAATACTTTTCGTTTTTCGTGCGCTCGATTTCTTTTTTCTCTAGAAGGAAAGATAGAAAAAGTCTTTGTGTATGTATGCATGCCCTGTGTGTGAAATCATACAAGTCTGTGAGCTCAAATGTGTTGAGCTTTCTAGATCCATCTGGACTTCCGTTGGCATTTTCATCTAGATCTCTTCTACCTAAACATTCTTTCGCACAGACAATATAAACGTTCAAAAGATATCCGGACGAAATTAGGATACCTTTTAAACTTTTACATTATCGAAGTTAACTCCACTGACTGATGAAGTCGTCTTCAATCTGAAGGCATCCGTCAGTAGCCATCTTCGATCTTTTTCTCTAAGAACTTGAGGAAAATTCTAAGCAAATCCCTTGCGATCTCCTGTAATACTCGTTGATGATTTGTTCAAGTGTGATCTTCGCTCTTGCTCTGCCACCGGCCGACGTCAGTAGTCCTCATCTTGAAGAACTCCGTCTACAACGACGTTCCTGACCGTCTCCCCGTGAACCTGAGGAAAATCCTGAGCGACGTGTCTTGAGCTATCCCGATTCTTGAATCTCGTTCGAACATGGTTCTCACTCTTGCTCCACGCTGATGTCCACCGTCCTTACCCTGGACGAGTCCGTGGGCAATAATTGCAGACGTTCAGGCTCCGCATCCAGCATGATGATACACATGAAGCTCTTACCGGACGCCTGATCTCTGGGATAGATGGTCACCGGTGCGAACTTGTCCACCGAGCCGTCCACGTAAGAACAAAGTTTCCGGTATACCTGGGGAAAGTGTCTCCTCAAGGAGACTCCCCTGAGCCTGAGCTGCCGTTGAATATTAGTGAAGCTGATCTCTCGCGCTTTTCGTGGCGTGTTCTGACCGTTGTTACCGGGTAACGATGTCAAGACCAGGGTCTCAGGCGAGTCCATCTCTCTAGTGATGTTGCAGGGAGACGCAGGTGCTTGTTGCGACAGTCTCCTCCTGGCCTGCGGAGACGCCGAGGAGGAGGAAGCATGCTGCTTAGCCGCCCCGTCGAGCCTGATCTTCGCACACCTGGATACCAATTGCCGTTCCCACCTGACCGCGCCGCTAGTCGGCACTTCGCTAACCACGCACACCGCCACGTAGAGCACTAGCCGCGTTTCCGGATTATACGTCTTACAGAGGCGCATCAGTTCGGCGTAGAGCTCGGCGCCCATCTCGCCCGGGAGTAAGTCCGACCAACGCACGTAGGTGGGCTCGCCAAGGTCGGCGAAGCCGTTGCCGACGAAACGCTCGGCCGCTTCGGGGCTCGAGAAGAAGCACTTGACCGCGCCGCGACCGTGACCGGCGTAGCCCCGTCTGGCAAGGGCGGAGATGTGCTTCAGAGTGGCCGGGTCCTCTTTCGCCGAGGACAGTACCTGGCGGCAGAGACTGCCGGCTCGCGAATGAAGGCAGGTCCTGCGATGACGTTGCCAGTGAGCCCTTCGACATTCGCGCGAACAGTATAGGCAGGTGCAGTTGTGGCAGCTCTTATAGGTCCTCCTCGCTTCTGCCAGGGTGGTCGAGTTACCGCACTTGTTGTTACGGCACCGCACTACCTTGTCCATGGCAGCCGAGCTGCCGTTAGTAGTGGAGTCTTGGGGATTGTCGAAAGACACCCGACGGTGACGCGGCTGGGCGCCCCCGCGCGGCATCAACGACGAGGACGACGCAGCTGCGGCGGCGACAACCGCAGCTCGTGAGGGCAGCGTGTCGCTGCCCTCGCTCTTCCGTCTCACCAGCTCGCCCGAGTAGAAGTTGCGCTGCTGATCATCGACGGTTGCCTGATGAACGTCCATCACGCTCTTAGCTGACTCTGCGACAAGTCAGATCGATTGCCTTTATCAATACAAGTACGACAAGATCGAGGGATGGGAGAGACGATGAGAGAGGTTGGAGAACGATCGTGATTGAATTGGAGGGCTCGTCTCAAAATCGTGTTAGATTTTGTAAAAAGCAAAGATGCGTATTTTTTCAAGCGGATTATTTTATTCTTGCAAAATTTCCATGCAGTGCTCTTTGCGATATCTAATTTTCAATATTTTCAAAGTGTGAATTTTAACACGATTTGAGAGCGAGCTCTTCTCCTTGAGTCAGTCTACCAATGGCGTTAAATGGATAATGATGATGTTTATTACTTTGGCGTGACATGATGAATGACACTAAATGATTTTGTGTAGTGATGTTATGTCGAACGAGAGAGAATTCGTTCTCACTTTCCTCCGTCATCGTCACCGAGAGCCAGCGCGAGAAACGCGTTAAGCACAATGACATGATGATTATAAGCAAGTATGAGCGTGAATGACAGTGATCGGCGTGACGTATCTTTTAATGACGCACTCGTACGTATAATAGTTCGCCTCCCCTCAACAGTCTAACTTTCCTTGCTGTTCAATCGCATTTTCCTTGTGTCAGTGATGGCTTCGCAAACTCAGTACTTGAAGCAATTATCTAACTAAGAAAACTAAAGCATTAAAGCAAATAACTAGACTGAAATCATTTAAAGAACAAGACAGCTAACTGAAAAGAACGTATCATAAAAATATATCGAGTTCTATAAAAAAATGTTAAACTTTTTCTAAAAGTATGTAAATTATTGGTAATAAACATATTTAAGATTTTTTTAATTTTGTCATTGAAATTAGTTCTTCCTTTCGAAAGATTTCTTCATTATAATGTTGCGATAGAAACTTTTCATTATTGGATGATTAACTTAGAAAAAGAGAAATATAATTTTTAATTTCGTAAGTGGAAACATTTCATTCAACCGTTTTAATCTTAAAATTTCTCTTAGAAATTCTTGCGGAAAATTCTCTTTTTACTTCTTGTAGGTATGCGTATATTACTCCTCTAAAAATATTAATAGAAATTCTTTTAAAGTTTTTTACTTCTATACGCTATGTATTCGTTGAATGTAAGTCACAATTATAAAAAAAAAGACTTGTTATATAATAAGAGCGAGTGGGCACATTGCTACAAGTTCGCGTAAAAGCGAATCCAATCTGTGTATCCAACCTATCCCACGTGCCATCAAGCTTGATCGTGCACAGAACCATAGAAGATCTGTTCTTTTTAGTCGCACTTTCCTACGTTTCCCGCATTAAAAATAAATGTGGTACACACAATCAAGTCTAATGAAGCAAATCAATTGTCATCGATCCTCCCATTAAATATAACACTTTTAAAAAGTTAAATTCAAAATGTTAACGCGGTTTTTAATCATTTAAAGTCTTTTAAAATTCGATAACGCGTTGAAAAAAAATCTCGCGAAACAAACGCGAATGTTGAGACAGATCGCTGGAAAGTATAGGAAGCGCTGCTAAAAGGGAGACAGATCTTTAAAGACAAAGAAAGATGTGTAAGAAGAGAGAGAGAGATATAGATATATATAGAGAGAGATAGAGACAGAAAGGGAGTGTCGAGAGTCTTGGTGATGATTTTTGTCTTACGATCTCCGTCTCGGCTCGTGTTATTAATCATGCGGTCCTAATCATTCGCGCGATAAGCAGCGAGCGGCTGCTGCGATGGCCGGCCACGGCCAAGCTCGTCCTTGGACTCTGGGGTGTCTACGACCCCGTGAGGGGCTTTACACGCCCTTAGGCTCGCCTCTGCAAAGGTGCAAAAGAACGTGAGTTCGAGGGAGGCATCGAGACGCGAGATAGGCGTTATCGCGTTCTTCTTCACGTCGGATGATGTTCTCATGGGTTTCTTTTTCTTTTTTTCTTTTTTTTCTGTATCGATAGATCGAGTCAGCGACTGGTCCACAGAGACTCGAGTTAAAAAGCAACAACACGTCGCATTCGTTCGTCCCGTTTTTATTTAATTATATCTCTTTAGGGATGAAATTGAAATTCTCTTTTTCGGGAGAGTCGTTGGGGGGAGTCTTTTTCGTAACGCTCTGTTCGATTCCCTGCGCCGTCGATAATGTGATATGTCAGAATGATATGATACATGTAATTTTATCTTGAGTATCTCAGTTCGCGCGCGGAACCTGGTTCCCTCGTTCAAATACGAAGCACAGTCTCCGTGGGTGAAGGGTGAGGTGAGTGGCGACGAGGCGAAGAGAAACGCAAGTTTAAGTTTTTCTTTACACCGCAAAGCGGAATACACAGTCGGAATACACGTGTAGATCGAAGCGACCCAGAGAATGTATACACCAGCGGCAGATTTCTCTCGTGCTAAGAAATTAAAGAAAAGAAAGACGAAGAATCTCTACAAATTTTGCAAAAAAATTCCGCCGTTCTGAAAATAAATTTTCAGAATAAAATTAATTAAGATTGGTAAGTATATTATTTATGATAACGAATTTCTGCCGCTCGCGTAAGATTCTTACAGCTAGGACACTCGATGCGCACGCTCTTCAGGGTTACGGTGGGGGGTGGGGCGGGGTTCGTACGTAAAGAAATTGATCGTTTTTGGAATAGAATTTGCCGATCAGAACGAAAACTTACATAGTCCTCCTACCTTGGAGGTCTTGGCGTAGGTCGCTGCAGCTCTGCCCGGCATTCGCCTGGCCGACGGCGGCGTTCGTATGGCGATGGCGGATGGCGGACGTGGCGGTCACGACGGGTCCCCCCGGGCCAGGACTCGGGGTACGCGACGCGGGTGGCAGCCCCAGGAGGGAGTCAAGTACGTCCTCCAGGGTCGTGGAGCCCGGGCTCGGTTTGTTCCGCAGAAGAGCTGCCGTCGCCATCGCCTCGTCCGTATCGCTCTGGCCCGATCCTGATCATCGGTATCATGCGGGGGTAAAGAAGAGACAGAGAGGTTTGCGTCATCCTCTTGGCCTCGAAAGTGTACGTGCGCGCGTACGTGCGCGCTTACGTCGTATTTATGTGCGTGTACTTTTATGTGTATGCATTTGGTGAGAACGAGATATAAGCCTTTCCCCATTTTCCATTTTAACTCCGTGATTAATATAATAAAGCGATTACTTTCTCGTTGCCCCCTTAATCTGGTCCCGTTTTCAAAACGAAAGGAGGCAACTGCGTGTGTGCATATGTGTCTGTGTGCGTGCGTGTGTGCGTGCGTCTGTGTACGCGTGTATATACTTGAGTGAAAATGGAATAAAATATCCTTTCCAGGGTTCCAGTGACCCCTTTACCCCATTATGAATAAAGCGATTCTCCCATATTGCGTCTTTTGATTAATTTCGTTAAATTTCTCTTGGCCTCGAAAAAGCATTCACGTTCTTCATACTAGGGAGATGACAAACTTTTACGAATCTCTTCATTATAATAGTTAAATGCGATAGAGACGCGTGATTGCAGCCGACCGAAGTTACCGCAACTTGCGGCTAGAAAAATAATACATCTAGTTATGTGCCAGATCAAGTTTACATTTCGGGACCGCTAATTATATATATATCGATCGCGTTCGATCGATCATTATTTAATGTCATCAATTGTGCTTTACGCGCGCATAAGTGCGGCTGTTAAATTACATACGAAAAGACAGAACTCGATTGCTGACATCGTAGCTGAGAAAGCAACAAAATTCTGCAGCACTTACCGTGACACAAGCAGAGCGTGGTACACAATGCGACCGAAATAAGTGTATGCAGACAATGTTCACATAGGTGATCGTGACATTAAATCGGTTCTTGCAAAAAACACATATAAACATATACGATAAATGTTTTTAACAAAATATTTACCAATTGAGATCGTGAAGTGAACCGATTTAATGAAAAAACACATAGGGGTGAGAAAAAAAATAACTATACATATACATATATATATATACATGTATGTACATATATATACATGTATATATACATGTGAATATATAAATGAACGCGGGAGCAAAGAAGTTTGCGGAAACACAAAGGATGACGACAATAATTTATTTGTTGCCAGGGATAATAATTATGCTCTACAGACAAATGATAATCGTTGACACGTCCGAACAATAAGTACGGAACCGTTTGAAAGAGAGACAGAGAGACCAGGGGAGCACCGGGCACGCAGAATCATCGCGAGATCATCGTTCTTGTCGTCTCGTGATTCACACGATCGAAATCTTTTATATATAATATCACTCGCGCATTCAATATACATCGATAATAATTACAAAATAAAAAAGTTATTAAGGCACAGCAAGAGACAGAACGAGACGTGCGCGCGTGATTCTGCGTGCTTCGGAGCCGTAATTAAAATATAGTAACAATAATAATAATAATAATAATAATACAATTAAAAATAATAATAACGATAATAATAATAATAATAATAATAATATCGATGCGCTCGTAACACATGATAAACGGTATGCGCGCGTTTTACATAAGTAAACCTAATTAATACAAATATGTGTATACACCTGTACAGGTTCTACAGGTGTTAACGTAAAGTGGACAGCTTTACAGTAAACATACATGAACGCAAATAACTACTGACAATGGTGAGCGAGGAGAGAGGAGGGGAAATAAAATGGTTAAATTAATGTAAAATTAATATCTCCATACAATGATATACGGGAGCGCCTTTCAATTGTTCCTTTATCAGCAAACAGGAAGGGGAGCGGAGGGTCGTCGACACGTATCGTAAACAAAGTAAGAAAGTGTAACTACAAAATTCTTCGCGACGAGCTCTCTCGCATGAGCGACGACAAGAATGAAAAGGAGAGAAAAAGAGAGTGAATGAGAGACGAGAGAACGCGCGTGGAATGGAGAATTTTTTATTTCAGAGTTTTCCGCTGTACGTGCGAAAAAGTCCGCGAAAAGCGCGACTCGAGTATGCACTTCCATGCAGTTTCCCGAAAAATAATCCTCGGGCAAGTAAGCTGCAATCAGATAAATCGCGACGAATTCGTCTCGTTTCATCGTCATCTCGAGCCTCGCCGTTCGATCAAGCCTGACGAGATCCACTTGAGGGCATCGCGCTCTCGAATAGAGAATTCTCGATAGTAAAAGCTTTCGACGAACGAAGTCTATGATTATTCGCAGCTTCGAAGGTTTTACTACCGAGAGTTCATTCCCGAGGTACGAGAGAGCTCTCGAGTGGATGTACAGCTTCATCGTCTTGTATGTCGGTAGTGATAAACCTTCGAGAACGAGAAAAGAAAATATATGTTGACTCGAGTCGGCTTTGTAAATTAATTATTAGCTGAGTCCTGAAAGCTCGATTAAGCCTCGCGCACCTGCGGCTCGCCCGAGCGCGCAACGAAAGCTGACGAAAACGAGGACGGAATGAAGGGAGATAACGATTATCGATATGTGGGCGTAAGCTCTAATCACCGTCGTGATGACGATAAAAAGCTCGCGGTCCCGGAGAGAATTATGATAGTGCCTCCGGGGTTTTGTACCTACGTGGACGAGATGAAAGCACACGACGAATAAACATTACCCTTAAAGATCATCGTAATATTTATCACGTAGGGCGATTCGTAAAAACGGGAAAATAATTAATATCGATATGTTTATTATATTAATTAAATATCAATGCTTTTTTTTTTAAATTCTCTCTAAAACTAATTACGTTCTTTCACACGAGTCTTTTGATTTAATTTCTAATCTGCAGGAAAATCTCCTCAAGAGATCGTCTTCGTCAGTTTCGCGCGCTCAGTGATGGGCGGAATACCGAAAGTAGCCGGATGCCGAAAGTTTCGCGCGTCCGCTAGGCGAGCAGCAACTCACCGCGGTGATGATGTTGCTGTTGTTGCTGGCGATGCTGGTGACGCTGATGATGGTGATGGTAGTTAGAGAAGGACGTGGGCGACGGGCCGGCCGAGGATGCCTGGAGATGCTGATGGCGCACGTCATCCCGGCTGGGTGTCAGGTCCAGGTAGAGACCGGATGCGGCCGAGTCCTGGCAGCTGCAGGACTCGGTGCCGGCCGCGTTGCAGCAGTCGCCGGCCTCCTGGTCGGTCGCCAGGCTCATAGGCGTCTCCGGCGAGTCCACGGGCCGCGTGCCGACGAACGAGCTCTCCATCCAGCACAGCCTCACGCTCCCTTCGAGGTGCCGACACAAATGCGAGAGCGATTAGGCCCGGGTCATAAGTGACCCTTCGCGTCGGCGTCAGAAATTATTCTAATCGAGGACTTTTATACAGGACCTCCCAGTCCTATTTCTTTCCGTGGAAAATCTACTTCTAATTTTTAAGATTTCCAAAATCTTCAATGTGACTCAAACTTTGTGAATTTTATAAATTATACGAATATATATTTATCCGATTTTAAGGGCAAAAGAACTTATTCTTAAAATATTTCTAATCACAATAAACTATTACTTCATACATTTCGTTTTTCTGCGATTACAGATATTATAAATACGTTAATCTGACTACAAAATTTAATCCTTAAGGGGTAAACGCTGAATAAGTAACTGCCACGTTCTTGAACGCGCGAAGCATCACGGAAGAAGCTATTCGTGCACATACGTGTTATATAATACCAAGGGGATTTATAATCTCTTTCGTTATAAGGCTCTCCTGACGATTAGGACCCGACGATGCGGGCATTAACTATCTTTATTGATCCTATAAACGTCTTAAGTAGTAGAAGCACATGGGTATTGAGAGACAAATAACAAAGGAAATTAAAAATAATATCAAATAAATTGGAGAATGCAACAGCGTAATCATACGTGATTCTATCCGATCATATTCCTTTTAAAATTTTGTATAAGAACGTTCATAAATCTATCTTGAAGAGTAGCATTAGTGAAGCCAGTCATCAAAGTTTTGTTAGTGAATAGTAAGTTATGTGAAAAATATTTAAGTAAGCAGCGAGTTAATCATTATCTGTTATTGATATTATATACAATATGTTAGTGTAAGCGTTTAAGTTTCAATGCACGTCACAGCAGCATCTGAAAGATATCGAATCGATCAAAGTTTTAGTGAGTTTTACAAAGTTTGCAATTTCGACCTTCACGCAAAGCTTTTCATTCTAGTCCTCTAATCTTTTCCAATTTACACCTTCGATATTACACCTCGCAGACAGCTCATTCGCGAGTTCGTTCGCGTCGAGAAGATGAAAGGAGGGGGAGAAGAGGTGGTTGAATTTCAGGGTAATCTATTTCGGTGACGACGGTCATGAGACACTATCGAAATAGCAGCGACTCGTCTCGACGACACGCTCTCGAGTCGCAGCGCAGAGTTGAGATTGTCCGAGAAGGTCACGATCTGGCGTCGACTGCAATACGCAACACTAGATTTCAAAATCAAGAGACACATTGTCGATCGCGTTATTTCGTAACGTCGTAAATTGACAGGCGTACACATCCTAACTGGAGTGCTTTTTGATAAACGAGTATCAAACGCTGTTCACGTTTCTATTACCTCTTATTTCTAGAACAGGAGCGTCAGAGCTCAAATAAAACCAAGAAAGAAGACTAAACTGACTTTCCTTGTAATAATCTTAAAGGCGAAATCTAAGGACACTTCTGACATCGGAATCCTGTGATGGATTTAACCAAGGATCATCTGATGCTGAGATTGAACATTTACTTCCTACCCATGGATTTATTTATATCCAAAGTGATACCGGTCGCAAGATGCGAGGAGATGCGCACCGCAATTCAAAACGCGGAAGATGTAGACTAAGTATCTTGAATACTTGTACCATGTTAAAGTGCGACACGTGTATGCGAGCCACTTGCAGGAAGTACTCTTACCGCTATGACTTGCACTCAGTGCCTCAATGGCGAACGAGAAGAAGAGTCTTCGTTTAGACATTAAGATAGCTTAGAATTTTACATTTAATACAAGACGGTTATTGCGACTTAAATTGAAGTTTTGATACCTTGCGGATGTATAATATTTAACAAAATGAAATGTCGCGTGAAGATAGTTTTGAATTAATTAAAAGTTCCATAATTTGAATTTCCATTAATTTTCATTAATTTGCATTAATTCGAAATATAATGATTTATATGTAAATTTCACAATAATAATATATTTTACTAAAATGTAATATAATAATTGGGGTTCAAATGGAGAATTCTAAGGGTGCTCATTACGGAATAAGAAAATATTTTGAAATGCGTTTCCAAGTGAATCTCTCTGAGAAACTATATCCCGCGGGGACCCTTAAAATTCTTTAATCCGAGAAATTGGGGGGAGGGTATAAATATTAAAAACCGACCTGTTTTGACCTCATCGATGCGCAGAGCCAGCTGATGCATATAGAGACAAAGAGAGAGACAGAGACAGAGAGAAAAAGAGAGGCAGCTTGCAAAGGAAGATAAAAAGAAGACATTAAGAAAATAGGAAAACTCAAAAATTACCTTCGTGACGGAGAGCAAAGGTGATGGTGGTTGTGATGTTGATAGGATGGTATATTTTTTTTTGTGGCTGAGGGGGTTGCTTTAGTGCTCACCTCTGGGGCTGGTAGACCTCGCTCCGCCCCTGTCATCCCAATCTTCAGGTCGAGGTCGAGGCGAGAGTCGGCCGCCACCGCCTCCGCCGACCTCCTGGCCGCTCTGCACGTAGTGCACGATGGCCGAGGTCACCTCCTTTATCGAGTTCCGTACTTCCAGCTGCTGATTCGTTGTCTGTTGCTGCTGCTGCTGTTGCTGTTGTTGCGAAACAAGCATGAAATCCATTCCGAACAATTGAAGATTTGTTATGGATACACAAAATTGACATTTTGACTCAAATTAGTTCCACCCAGAACATTAATCATTGTTATTTTAATGTTGAGAATTTCGAGAAGCAATTATTCTCAAGAATATTTCTAACCGATTCTTCTAAAGCAATTATAATCGTTCATTGTTTCGAGTGTTTGGAGAAATATGAAAACAAAAATAAATATTCGCTCGTATATATGGAAAGCAACATAAGTAATCTAGTTATTATCAGAGAAGATTATAAATAAATTCTTTAAAATATATAAATATTTTATAACATATAATTATTGCTTGATATTATAATATTCATGAAAGAAGTAATTATTTATTTGTATAATCCGTTAGTTAGAGATAAATGTTACACGATGATAAATGGTTTTTAAAATTATTACCATCATTAAGGAAAAGCTTTAGAATATAAGAGTCTTAAAAAATGCATCATATGTAAAGTATTTTTCAGGGAAGAAACCGTGAAAGATACGAGACGACAGGAGCTTTCCTGCCAGAATTTCTAATTTTAGAAAGCGGCGATGCGCTTGCGTACTGTCTGCGGAAATTAAAAATAAATTGCACAAAGAGCAAGATGCAAATCTCGTAAAGGGATCAGAGGGTGGAACAAAAACGAATCGCAAGGGATCGCGTTGTTAGTTTTCGCTTTCAGAATCCATCAACAAGTACGAGTATACGACGAGTGTGCGTAAACGCGTGACTTAAAATGTGTAACACATAGATTCATACAATCATGAATATCGATTCACAAATACACTAGAATTCTAAGGCCTGCTGACGTAAGAGAAGTCGTGACGTAAACGGTGACGTCAATAATTTCCACGAGGCATTTTGTATTTGCTGACGCGTTTGCGCTGAATTATATAAGGGAAAATTGCGTTGAATGGTGGATAAAATAGATAGACAATTTTAATTTGCCATGAAATTGAATCCATAAGAAGGGATTATGAAAAGCCGATAAGACAGAAATGACCAAAAAAAAAAAAAAAAAACAAGGAATAAGTTGGAAAAAAGGGATTCTTTTTTTATCATTCACTGCACTAACCTTGTTTGCGGCCTGCAGTTGAGGAAGAATACCCTGAGCAAGACGTTCCGCCGGCGTCCGCGGATTGGTCAGTCGCTCCTGAGACCGCCAGCCCAAGTAGGGCTGCCGGTGATTGAAGGACGACCTGGCCGAACTCGCGGGTGAACTGCCGGCGCTGTTCAGCAAGCTGGTACTCCATCTCGAGAATACGGGAGGTGTGGGACTGGGACTCAGAAGGACACCTACAATATAAGAAAAAAAAAACGGACGTTCATTATACAGTTAAGCTATAAAACCTAACAAAATAAAATCATATCTGTGATTAAACATTCTCTAAAAAACTTTTAGAGTAAATTGTCACTTTGAAGAGTGAAATCTCACTAATAAAGATCGAGAATTAAGCCACACTCTTTTACAAGACTGGCTCAATTTTCACTCTCTAGAGCTAGAGTGAGATTCCATCAATGAATTTAGAGAGCACGAATCAAGAATTGCACATTAGATACTCCCCCCTTTTAAACTTTTTCTTAATTTGTCGAAAGTTTCGGACTTATAACATTTAATTGTTTTTAGAATCGATTACATTTCGTTGCTGGTTCAAAGATAACTCAATCCCACCTGTGGTCGGCTGTCGATTGGAAGACGACGAGAGGGACGACAGGGAGGTGGTCTTGGAGCCGAGGGCGCGCCATCCTCCATGCTGCGACGCGTCGGAGTGCCTCTTCAGCCGGAAGCCGTCGCGGGCAGCGGGTGAATTCTTGTACCAGTCGGGCACATTGAGTCGTTGCAACGATCGCTGCACCCTAAGCTCGTGCTCACTCGGCACGCGCTCGCCCACTTTCTGCAGCTCATTCTCCGGCGGCTGGAATGACAAATTCATGTTCGTGTTCTTCAGCAATTCCTCAATGCAATGGACAATTATGAAAGCTCTCACGATAAATTAAAAGGAATATTTCTCGCTCACGCAAGTTCAGGGATTAACATATCAATAATAATTGGAAAATCACCAACAGAATCCTAGAATAATAGAGCGTTAAAATTCAAATAGAAAAATTGGAATTAGAGTTGACGATAATTAATTTGAACAATTTTAATCCTTGAACTTAAATGGCTGATGAATATTTATCTCGCTCAGTCCATCTTGTGCGTTATCTATATTACAAATAAATAACTAATCTAGTTTCTACAAATGTTTCTCTCTCAAATTGTTCGTTGTGAAAGAAATCGATTTTGACGAAGAGTATAGACATGAATGTTTCGGGACACCCGGTGACGTGTGACACACAGAGAATACGTGGCTGTCGTGTGAAGCATCGTGCGAGATATCAATCCTGTTCTGCGAAAGTTTCAGGGACAAACCTGCGCGAAGGTCGACAGGACGAGATCCTCGTCGCAGCTTCTCGCCGCGCTCTCGATCAAAATTCGACACGCCGCGCTATTAACGAACCCGTGAGTTGCCATCATCGTGCCGTGGTCTCTTCTCAATCTATAATCGACCATGCGAGTCCTTTGAGACGCGTCAGGAGCGATCACCGATCTGGGAACGATACTCCATTTTATTCACGGACCCGCTTCTATTTTCAGAGCATTTTCAGACGACTGAAGCTATATTGCTAAAACTATGTGTATATCAAGAGTAATTCTAATTATTTCTCTATACGTCATATTATTAGTCCAATTTAATAAAAACAAAGATTCAACACACACGTATGTCATATTTTTAGAAAAAAATTAATGTTGATAATTTATAAATTTTGACAGATATCAGTTCCCACTTAGAGATTTATGTTAGAAGCTTGCCATATTTTTAGAAAAAAAATTAATGAGTGTACAAGTTTTAACAGATGTCGATTCTCTTTTAGAAGTTTGTCACTGTTACCGGCTCCTTCATATTTCTCATTGTCTCGACTTCAATGCTAATCGTACGACGGCTACATAACGGATGCACGTGACGAACGTGCTTGTGATTTTCATGCACGGAGTCTAACGGGACTAACTCAGAATGGCTTCCACGTCTTCTGTCTTCTCTTCGTCATCGAGCGAGGGAGTAGTTCATCAAAACACACACGTGTGCGAATCGGCCTAAGGAAAATATTTTTCGAGATCGTTGAATTTTCCTCCGCATGTGGGATGAAATGCGCTCTTTATAAATATTTTGTCAACTGAAATTTCATTCCTAAAACATCCACTTTAAAAAGCAAACGAAACTAAGCAATCGTATTTTTAGTATTAGTTCGTTAAAAAATCACCTCGCGAGAAGATGAGAAATTTTCACTAAAATCGAAACGCATTCTTGTCAAAATTATAAAACAATTACTAAAATAAGTTATTTAAATAATTCATTGTAAAAAGGTAAAATTAAGCCAGAAACAGGTTCTAATTCCTAACGCATGTACTCCTCGAAATTTTATCTCTCGATAAACTACAACATTCACTAGGAGTTCAATAGGCGTTCACTAAATGATTGAGTATAATGAATGATATCTAGTTATTTTCGATAGAAAAAAAGGGCGTAGCTCTTGGTAGATTTTCCAATCCCGTGCAAACGCAAAACGGACAACGGTGATGCAGGTTTTGGAGTACGAGTCCAAGGCTGAATTGTGTGAGCGGAATAGGAATAATCCGTGTGCGGAAATGTGAGGGGCGTTTACGTAATACGGACGGGAAGAACAAACAGCAATAGGCATTCGTTTCATAGAATCGATTTCGTGAATCGCTAAATTTCTTATAATATCATATAAGTCAAAGTCGTCACAAATGCCTGAACGACACTAATAAGATATTCGATAGTGTAACCTTTAGACGTCTTATTAAAGTCTGAAAACATGAATCTTAATAAAATTATAATGCGAAGATTGACTTAATTAGACGACGAGTCTAGAAATCGAACTAGATCAACGTAACGAAAAGAGACTAAAATAGAACGAGCTTGGTAGAGATAAAATTGATATTAAGAGCCACAACACACTTAAAAAAAACTTAAGCAATAAAACGTAAGCACGGTAAATAAATTGGCCAATCACAGTAAAGACCGTAAACAGCAGCGAATCCAACAGGTTGATTTCCTTACTGCTTATTGTTTAAATTTTTTGTGTACTTTAATTCATAATGTCATCCAATTAGAGTTATTTTTAATCATTTTTATAGGTCGTCAATTTAACTAAGATAAGGACTAAACAATTTAATTCAAGAAACTAAACATTAAAAATTTAACTCAAATTTATCTATTATTTATTAAATGTATACGTTATTAATATGAACGTTACTTTGAAATTAATCACAGAAATGAATTGATTTACATTTTGACACACATGGAAGTTAAGAATACTATTAAACTTTATTAAGAATGTTATTTAACTCATAAAGGATTGGGTTACTATTGCTCCTTTGATATCTAACAGTGTATGTACTCTAAGACTTCATATCTCGTTTAAAAGAAAAAAAAAACATCAAGTTTTGATATCGCGTTGCGAACGGACGCATTGCATAACGGACGTCTCGGATGTCGAGACACGGAGCTGCAATAATGCTAATTTAAATTACGGGCCGTCGTCTTTTCCGTCACCACGTCATCGCGTTGTCCCCGTCAATTGACGCGAATTAGGGGAAAGCCACGTCAAAGAAGGCGTAGTGCATCTGCCATTAAGGCGGCCAAAGACCCCGCGTCTCTCTCGTTGCAAGTGCATGTGCATCGCGTCGATGCATCCTGTTCTCGCAGCATCCGCGAATGCAACCGCGGCGTCGCCTACGATATTTCAATATTAACGAACAGTATTACTTTTTGAACACAATTTTTGATCTACGCGTATAAAAAATCTTAAAAAATATTCGAATTATTTTATTATTAATATATTATTATTATATTTACGCGTAATTTTCAATATTTAAAATATTCAATGTTTTTTATAGTTAATGAAAAAATTTAAACTACTTTTTCAAATTCTAGATTTCTTTAAAAATTAATTCTACAAGACAGATCGATGTTTTTTTCCGATTTTACAAGAGTTTTGAAAATTCCTAGCGCACGCATTTTTTATTTATATATGCCTTAGTTATTTAGCTATGTTCATATGTTGATCGCATTAACTATTCGTTAAAATTGCATACACGCGTATAAATTGTAGTATAACACAATATAATCTCGTGGATATAGTTTTAATAGTTGTGTAGTTGTGTTCCATCGATTTTACAGTCATATAAGAAAAGAGGGAAATCTGCGCTGAGACTCACCGCCTTTACCATTCATTGTTAACCGCCATCGATTGCAATTGTTTTCGAAGGCTGGCCTTAATAATACACCCACACCAATACGGCGGAAGTTGCAGAACTTTTCCGCAACCGCTTGAAACTTTGGAATTGCGAACGGCAGACTCGTCTTATGTCTAAATAATTCCTGCCGTCTTATCATAGAAATGTTGGTTGAAAGTGTATTACGATAGCGAACTAAAGTCGAGAAAATGAACAACTGGCATGGTCAAATCATTTGATAAGAGCGAAATTATCGATAATTCACACAAAACTATAGTATATTATTCGTACTTTAAAGTGACTGATAACCGAGAAGCTAGCGGTATAATTTATACAAAAATATATTATTTGTATTTTAAAGTAGAAATCAATATTAGGTTTATTAAATTTTATTTTGAAAAACAATAATAAAACAATAATAAAACAAAATAAGAAGTTCATTTTCTCTTCTCTTGATTTTTCAATCATCGAGTTGTTCCGTTCTTTTTTTATTTTATTTTGAAAAGTTTAATTAGATTGTAATAAACATAATTCGTTTAATTTATTTTTTAATTAATATTTGCTGAAACCGCTAATGCGTTTTGATCTAAAGACCTTTTAATGAGAGTCTGAACACGAATCGCAATTTTATATGTAAGGTAGCACTTTTAACCAAAATCTGCGAGAGAGAAGGACATATATTTACCATTTCTTTCTCTTTTCATTCTGTTCTCTCTCTCTCTCTCTCTCTCTCTCTCTCAGAAATGGTTAAAACATGGCAGACCAATCGAAAGTGGCTTTCTCACGTCCAGATTTTTATTAGAGGGTCTCTAGTTTTGACCAAAATACCGCCTATGCGAATTTAACCGCACATGCGGCACGCATATGCTCGCCGTGTGCAGATACATCGACACGAATACTCACAAATGCGTGCGAACGAACCCTCGCGCAAAGTCGCACTTCGCGGGGAACAGAAAGTCGTCGTTTTATTACGCGAAAGGCATAACCATAAAGAATCCTACGTGCAACTTTTGTTCCGTAACTTTCTAATTCAAGGTTTTTGCGTTCATTGATGCGGATCTCTCGTTTGATATGATCTTTGCACTTTGCGATTAATCAAAGAACGTTAAATCTTTATTCATGACTCGAGCCATTAGTAATAGTTGATATATAAATTAATAGGTAGTCTCGTTAATCCTACGATACGAAACGATAATTCATGAAACATTTATTTCCCTAGACAGACTGTTTGCGGAGGCTAGCCTAGTGTGTAAAGTTGAAATAAAATATTCAATTATTACGCGGCATTAAGACTATACATCACTCAATTATCGGGCCCCTCGGTGTTTACGACACTGCACATGGCACAGCCCGTATCGTAGATACACGTGGGCACGAAGAGCGCCCACACGTCGCAGATTCTCGCTCGGCCTTCGACTCTCTTGCTCGCCGCGCGTATTAACGTTTCACGCAACTACCTCGTTCTTTCACCGCCCAGCATCTAAACGATCTAACGCAATCGACACCGCGACTTTACGGAATCAGCGATCGCTTAAAGAAACAACGCTGTCAAAAAACTTTCAACTACAAGACCATTCCTCTCTAATTACTAGCATATTTGAGAATTACGAGGGT